AAAGAAAAACTGAGATTTAAGAAATAAAAATTACAAAATTAGAAAGCTATGATATGAATAATTGAATATAGAATACCTGGAGGGTGGAGCCGTTGAGGTCGGCGTCCGGCGGTAGAGGCGGCGTCCTTCTTCCGCTATCGGCAGCCGGCTCTTCCGTCTTCGCCTCTTCCGGTCCTCTCTTTGTTCGGCTCATCTTCTGATTTTTTTTTGTCTAAAAGGTGAGGGGTGGATTGGGCTAATAAGGGATAGAAGTAAGGTAAGGGGTGGGTGGACTGGGCTTTAATTGAAATGGGCTTCTTATATACATATATGTATAAAATACTTAATAAAAAATTTGGTGCCCCTAAAATTATTGGGCCCGGCCCGGACGGACACTTTGTCCCCCTATTGGGCCGGCCTTGCTAAAACCCATAAGTTCCAGTCTTGGTCTGGTTCTGGACAGTTAGGCTTTTTATTTTGAAATTTAAATGGTTCTATAGTTTGCATTAAATTTTGATAATGCTACTGATAACACCGCTATCATTTCTAGACTTTGACAATTTTGCATCATACCATTGTCATGGGTAGATTTCTACAGCAAACGTGTGCATTCCATTTTTAAAATTTGTGTGTTTATGTAACACGCCAAATGTGTTTCATCGATGGTGTTACCTGTCTTACGCGATGGGGTACGGCGTGCGCGCGCAAGCAGAGTTGTATTTATTTTATAGGGTTCGTGCTCCGTAATTAAATAACATACCTCGATGAAATATACTTTTCAGGCCAGCTTACTCTAAATTCAGATCTGTTCGCACCATTGGATTCGTCTCGTCGAACCCTACACAATGGTATAACCTTTATGTTTTACTGAAGAATATTAATATTCCTCTCAATAATTAATTAGTTATTTTTAATTAATTAATTCTAATAGGCCAAGTTTTGGGGCGTTACAGTTCAGCAGGGGTTATAGGCATTGAGGGGCTTTGACCAACATTAAGCCAGGCTTGATATCAATTTGGGTAAGTCGATTGAACTCACAGACATGAAAGGATTACTACCATTCTAAAGGTTGAAAACTCATTACATTTGCCAAGGGAATTACGACACAATGGAACAGTATGTATAAGTTGACTGCATAAATCTTGAAATACAAAGAAAAACTTGCTTCCTTTCTTAAGCTTGAATTTTTTTCATGTTATTGATATGAATGAATTTAATATTATTGAAAATTGTCCAACGTATTAGATATTTTTTAATAATGCAACTTTACCTTTCTCGCATGTTTACAAAGTTACATGTAACAAATTCTTTTTTAAGTGTATTAGCATTGCTATATGTTTCTGTGAAACTATGATTGATCCACTCTTGTATCCATATGTCTTCACTTTGAGGAAAAAAGTGGTGCTTATTACTTGTAGTCCTGATATTTATAAAATTGATACTATTTGTGATCCTTGCTTCAAGACTGAGATTTTTAAAGTTTTCATGGAATACTTCTATAGTTGTTTAGTGGATCATAACAGTTATTATTATGAGCATCTTATTTACTCAAAGACTGACACGTATATTGCCATTAAATTTTTTTGAGTGTTTGTATAAAAAACTTCAAAATTTGTACGTCCACCCTTCAGACAAGAATGAGACACAAGCTAGTACTGCGCCGAAGGTAAAGAAAGGTTCTAAAGGGGTCATTGGTGGCCTCTTATCAAAGAAAGGAAAGAATAGTTCCACGTCCACAAGTGCAAGTGGTAGAACAATACGTTCACAAAACGATCTTATGAAGTACCAAGGCGTCCTATGCGACTACAAAAAAAAATTAATTCAACGTCCTCAATGGTGGAAGCGGAATGAGCATATGTTCCCATCAGTCGAAATGCTACCTAGACAGGTGTTATCTATGTTGGTGTCAACAGTAGCCGTGGAAAAGGAATTTAGTTCCAGCAGCAAAATTTTGACTGACTTCTGGAATAGTCTCAACACTGAATTAATTGAGACACTAGTTTGTGACCGAGATTGGCTTTTTGGTAAGTGCCAACGACAGGAGGTGGGGTAAGACATGGATGCACAAAACTACATGGATGCAACCACGGAGGAAAGTGGTAGTTAAAACGTGTGATTTACTTAACATTGTTTTTTAATAAATGTATATTTGTTTTCTTAGGTGAGAGATTTCTAAGCTTTTTTGAGAGTTTCTTTACAGTTTTTTATCTCATCTCTTTAGACAAATATTTTAACCATATATCATTGTGTAACATTCTTAAATAGGGCCTAGAAAGATTTAGTTAAAAATAATAAAAAAAACAAAAAAAATTGAAATTAAATAAATTAATTTTATAATCTAAAAATAATAAAATATAATTGGAATCAAAGTTAAAAAATTTTATTGTTATAAAAATGGTTTAGGAATATTAGTTGGAATTGGATCCAACTTAATTTAATTTTGGGCTAAGTAATAGAATTGGGCCAAAATAACTATGAAATACGGAATAAGTAAATTAAAAATCACTATCATCGATGAGAAGTTGAATAGCAAAGTGGAAGTTGATTAGCAATGTGAGCTACGCCACCAGGGTTTTATTTACGGAGTAACATAAAAGTGACTCCTCAAATTTCCCATGTGTTGCCCGCCACACACCCCATTCCCTAGCCTAGTTTTTATCACCCACCTCATTCCTTTAATACATACATACCCCATTCCCTTTCTCGCTCTTTGTTTTCTCCATCAATCACTCACATCACAAACTATCCCTATCTTATCTCTCCCTTGGCACACAAACGGAGCAGCCGCACAGACAAAGCAGGAGGATCGCCGGAAGAAAGAAGAAGAAGAAGAAAAGAGGAAGTTTGTACGTGAACGTTCGTGAGACGCTACCACCGTTCACACCGTCTTCATCCACCAAGCGTACGTTCTAGAGGTGAGTACGTTGCCCCTCTAGCATTAGAATTCGTAGTTATATTCGATATAGTTACATTCATAAGATTATTTAATTTGTTCGTAATCTATGTCGCAATCCAAGGCTCGTTAATCATTTTCTACCATCCATGTATCCACGAATTTGGTTAGAATCTATCTATGAATCTTAGGAAATATATGATTAAACATCCATGTTAATAACTCAATGAAAACGAGACAAAAAGATGTAAAAATGGACGCTTGAATGTTTCACTATGCGTCGCTGCCATTGGGCGCCGTCATGGACGGTGGACCGTTCACAGTGTCCGAGCAACTATCGTGATCACGGTCGACCGTCAGTGAGTCAGTAGACCGTTTCACTCTTCCGCGCTTCACCACCCCAACCATCCAGGCTTAGAAACAGCGGTCCAGGGTACGGTCAATCGTCGGAATCTCAGACTCAACCGTGGCAACCGAACGGTGGATCGTTGGTCAGAACGGTCGACCGTCACGGTACCAAAAACTAGACAGAAACTTATTTAAAACCCAAAATATTTATTCAAGTATGATTTTCTATAATCCATTATTGCATGCTTATTATGAATGATATATTTTTGGTTATTTCCAAAGGTTTGCGTATACATTCATATCATCACGCATGTTATAGACGCATGTCGTAGAAATTCATTCAAGTCATGTCATACCGCCTAAGGGGTCGGGCCTAGTGTGCCTCTTAGTGCGGGCTCGTCCAGGTGCCTTCAGGACCAACGAGTTTCATTCGGAGGGCTTGTGTACGTAGATGGTAACTACGTTTCGGTTACCACTCATCACTTCTAGTCTCGTCAGGAGACTAAGGTTTGCCCGAGTCATCGCCGTTGTGGGATGACATCGGAGCACAGGGGGGTCCATGCATAGTCTAACTCATGCATCATGCAATCATATGGTCATTTTGTGTTACACGTACGTTAAGTACAAGTATGATTATCTTTGTCCCTATATGGTTTATCACCACGTATTCTCTTGTTAGAGTTACCACTCAGCTTATGCTGAGCGTATAGTATTGTTTTTGCTATACGCAGGTAGGCACGAGGAACTTGGATCCTATCCCGGAGGGCAACAAGAGTGAGGAGATGTACGCACGATGGATGCGGATTTTATCACCTTTTCTTTTAATTATTACTACTTAAATCATTTGGGCTTGAACCCACACTTGTCGTATTTATTTTCAAAAACTTGACTCTGTTTGCTTCAGCGTTTGGACTGGTTGATTCACTCCGTACGTTTTTAGGGGTTAATTTCCCCAAAGGATTTTATTTACAAAAAGATGACAAAGGTTTTTATTTAAAAGAATTTGGAAAAGTTTTCTATGGATGATTCTCTACTTACCATCTGTGTGACCCTCCGACCCGTCGGGTCGCGGCGAATCAAGTCCGGGGAGTCGGGGGTGTTACATTCCTAATCTTCATCTTCCAATGGAAGTGCTACCGAGTAATTAGTAAATAAGCTTGTACTTGTATTTGTTTGAATGGGTTGTAAGAGGGTTTGACATACATCTTTTATATATACTCCCTCCGTCCCTAAATATTTGCTACACTTGTATTCCTGAGGCAAAATATCAAGTTTTTTCAATTCATTTTATTTACATATTGGTATAGAAATAAAAAAATAAAATTTACATATCAAAAAAGTACATGAAAAGTTTTTCAAAATAAGAGGTGTCAAGAATATTTTATTTTATCAAATAACCAAAGAAAACGTAGAAATAAACAAAAGTTCCCGCAGCTGCTGAAAAAACAAACGTTACAAATAATTTGGGACGGGGGAGTATACATAATTCATCATCAAGTCAATTTTGGCGCATACAAAACTCTACCAGCCGTTCTTATTCAAATCCTTTTCCTCCCATTTGACCGTTGTGGGAGTCTTGGATTATTCCTTACAGCAATTATTTGGAATAGTTTTTCGTGAAAAAAAAAACTGAAACTAGTCAGAAACTTAGTTCAGTTTAAATTGCGCATAAATTTAATTCAATTGCTAAATTTCCTTATTTAAAATATTCACGTATAATAATTAAAAAAATGTTGAGGCTAACTGGTTGGAAAATAAAAACAATTTTGAAGAGACATTGAAACATATATCCAATTTACTTTTTTAAGAAAACAAAAAATAAATAAAAAAAACTAAAAATTGTTAAAGCCCAATAAGTTTCAGAGTGCATATACTTTTTCATAGAACAACAAGCTAGCTTCAGCATCAAGAACCTCTTTCTGAGACACAACATCCACTTGAGAGTCAGAGATGCAATACCACTGCTCCCGGGAAGATCCGGCGTGATTATCGCGGCTAATGCTTGGCGCTACTCTTCTATAAACAATGTAATGACCACTTCCAACTCTCCCAAAGTGCTCCACCACTGAAACCAGGCTGTAAATATGTTTCTCCTCTTCACTAGATTCGCCACCATCTTTGGCATATGAAGAGAGTGTTTCCGGTTTTCGCCCGATGCCATTTGGCATCTCTTTAACATGTTGCAGGTTTAAGGCATTGGGAAGAGGAAAATGTTGTTGGGCACTTTGTTGTTTCGCCGGGCAAATCTGTTTTCCTCCTTCGCCGCGGGTTTTTGTTCCCACTTGAGTCTTTGTGAATGGAGACATATCCAGGATCAAGGGAAAAGATATGTGGCCCTGTTAGAAAAAAAAAAGCACTCCCAAATCAGTCTAAATCAGTCATTCATGTCTACATATATCATCATCATCAATCATGCCATTACTTCATGCTTTAAATGCCACACAACACATACCTGAAGTTTGACTATTTCTCCAAAGGCATTTACCGAGGCGCGTTGGAGATGGATGCACAAGATCTGCAATTTAGAGATCATTCATATAAACCTCCGAAGAAGAAGAAAAACAATCAAGTTAAGCAATAATGGTCGAGCCATAGAAGTAATCATGTTTTTTGGGCACCTTCTTTAAACAAATAAAACAATAGGTGTTCCTACCTGTGGGCTGTGGGCAACACTATATTGCTTGAAAGTTCGCGAGAATCGATTCGGACATGGCATTTCTCTTAGGCAAGACATATTTTTGCAATTACATGAATCTAACTCCCGACAGAGCTTTAGCTTTTCGATAATAATCTGCACGTGTGTAACCCAGGAAAAATGGACCTTAATATATATTCACTAATTGTTAGATTAATAAAGAGTAAATTTCATAAATGGTCCCTAGTTATAGTTGGTTTTCCATTTTAGTCCCCAAATCTAAGTTATTACATAAATAGTCCTCAGTTTTTGAAAACTATTCCATGATCGGTCCTTCAAGACTATATGTGGAAAAAATAGTCATATTTGGCCTAAAGGACTAACTATGGAATAGTTTTAAAAATTGAGGATCATTTATGTAACATCTTGGAATTAGGGATTAAATATGGAAAACTACCTGTAATTAGGGATCATTTATGAAATTTAGTCATTAATAAATGACAGCTCATATTGCAATCTAAAAAAGCTGCATTTTTTTATTTATACTCATTACCTGATCTTCACACATTTTAGATGCATACTTTATTGCAGCAATATGCCAACAGCGAAAACAGCAGTAATTTTCAAGTTGCTCTGCAACTAAGAACCGTTCTAAACATTCCACCACAGAGCATTGGCCCACCTAAATTTGTTCATGGCACTCAAACAAGAACTAAAAAGTGAAAAATCACATATACAAATATGGAGTATGATTTTTCCAACGTACAATATTCCCATCACTGTCGGCAACCGGTAAGAGGTGTAAAGTTTGAAACAGCTGAAAATCCAATGAAATCTGGGAGGAAAAAGAACATGGAATAAGAATTAGCTCTAAGAGTTCCATGCTGGAGAAAGAACAGTAGAGTAACATTCAGATAAATATGAATAACCTTTCAAGTCCCACTCATACCTGGAACGAACAGCTATGGCAGGTTAAGCTGCTACAAAGAATTCCATTAAAAGGCCCGATAAAAAATTGTCTCCATCTTTCTCGTTCACTTTGTCTGGACTTCTTCAAACCCAGAACCCTATAATCAGGAAGAGCTGTCACATCTGCGAACGAGCTGCATCCTGGGACATAAGAATCTGACAACTCTTCCCGTAAAGAAGATAAGAGATGGGATAGTGCTTCTTCTGCATCCTACAAGAATTAGTTAGAAAGAACAATTACAGTTTTTCTTTTTTTGTGATTGTTCAACACTGACAACAGAAACTATACCTGTTGGCTTGTCAAGTTGAAATCTGGAATATAATCATTCATGGCGTGCATCAATTCTTGCGGACTGAACACAGTTCTTCCATGCTGAAGTGTGCAGAGTTCTTAGGGATATTAAATAGAATGCCATTAGTTAATTAGCATGGACATGAAAATGAAATGCTTGATGAGTTGAAGTGTGTGTGTGTTCCATGTATTGCCACATTTTGAAATCATTATGCTACACACACAAGAAGCACACCAAACACACAATATTGGCAATATATAAGAGACATGTGCCTTTATTAGATCGAATCGTTCGTTTAAGTTTAACAGGTTGATGGCATATTATGACTTGGGGCTTCATCCTAGAATGTGGTAACACTGTTAGAATAAGTAATTCTCGACATTATATTTTCATAATATATTCATATATTACTTCGGTGTGGGAGAATGGGAGATCATGCCCCTAAAGATACTTCTTTATACCATAACATCCACATCAATAAAATAATAGATATAGAAGCAGTACTATTGTGATGAAATCCAAAAGAAAGATGCTGATCTCTTATAATATTCATGTTTTCATTGAAGGCCCAAAATCATGTTATCTCCAACTATTAAAAATGTTTAGGCTTAATTGTTAGGAAAATGCACTATGCTTTAAATTTATAGAAGTTGGGACACAGACTTAAGATAACATAAACTATCATTTCTTGTTGAAACAATGGCAATAAGCTCAGGAAAATGCAAATAGCTTAACAGCTGAAACAAATCTCTCCACCCAAACATACCCTTAGAAAACCAAGCTCAAACTCTGTAATGTCCTCACTGTCCCCAAGTAGGGAATAAAAACTGGTCACTATAGAAGTAATAGAAGGTATTAAAACACACACACATACACGGACGCACAAAAAAATATCAAATGGTCAGAAGTTACTGTACAGAAGAATGATAGTAAGAAACACAATAGTTATACAAAAATTCTTCTGCAAACTAAGGTAGCGCATAAAGGACCAACACTTTAATACTTACTATTCAAGAATTGAATTATGTTGGGTTTGTGAAATTCGGAAGGAAATGAAAAGAATGATTTTACTCTCCTTTTCCTCACCAAAATGGAAGGAAAGTTGTTTTCCATCATCTTAGTTTGTTTTCTACTCTCATTTTTTTCCTTCTACAGTGTTTGCTTGGTGCTTCTTGATTGCATTACTTTCCCATCGTTAACTCTAGTTTCTTCTTTGCCTCTGTAAGAATTGTGATGTGTGCTCTCTCTGCTTTATGTATCACCTTCTCAGCTTCATATATCGCCTGAGATCTTTTATATCGGTGCAGCTTGAGTCGGGGGTCTCTTGGAAATAGCCTCTCTACTTTCGATTAGGGTCAAGGCCTGCCTACACACACCCTCCCCAGACCCTACTCGCGTGGATTCGGGTGGGTTGTTGTTGTATTTTTTTTCTTCCGCTTTTCTTTTCCTTACCACTCTTACCAAACAAAAAAATTTGTTTTCCATATCTTTTTCTTATATTTTCCCTTTCCAATTCCTTGAACCAAACATGTTGTAAGGAAATGGGAAGGGGAGGGAAAAAATGAAAAGTCCCATCGTTTGACTATGTTCTGTACTTCAAATTAAAAAATGGGGTTTTTCAAAATGTAAAAGAAATATGTATCAAGAGCAGAGAGTTCTTATTCGCCCTAATCTTGAGCAGTTCGAGATTCAGAAAATGTCAACAAGAAGCAGCTAGGTGGAACAATCACTGAAACAACAGGTCTTCTACTGGAGAACATTCTTCTTGAAGCTTCAATTAGTGCGTGCAGCAGGGGACACAAACATATAACAACAACAACAACAACAACAATAATAATATTAGTATATCAGCAATAGAGCTTATAGAACCCACCGTCCTGTATTATGAAAGCTAAAGGCTGGCAATAACATTACAGTATTTCCATATTCACCTTCCAATAGCTTAAACAAAGCATCTGCAAGAGACGAGCTCTCCGCACTGCCATCCATGGATGATCCCCTGAATTCCGCCACCAATCCCTCCAGAAACTTCCGGAAACTCTTACAGCTAGCCAAGGCCTAGTTCATAAATGAGGAAGCAAAGGCTTACATAACACATCCGCATCTCACAAGCTTACAATCAACAATTTAACAACGACAACAACAAACATAATACAATGTCGATGTTGTTGGAGTCTCGGGATCAAGTACCCAGTCTTATGTTGGAAATATTTTAGCCAAACAGGATTACGGGCAGCCATTTTCGGGCATAAATATCAATGTGATCCAATGAGGGTTTGGGCAGATACGAACAAAAATGTGTTCTCCTAAGTGTAGCGAACGTTTTGATATATTGTGCACCAAAAATGATCAACAGGTAAATGAGAAATTAATGCTTAAATTACACCAGCTCATTGGTAATTTATACTAATGAGTAGAGTTTCTTTAAAAGGTGGGATGTGTTCCCACAATGGAAACACAGCTTATTAAATGCTTTCTTAACAAGAGGAAGACTTTATGACATCATAAAGTACATTTATGAGAGAATAAAAGGATAACCTATGTGCAGGAGTAGCAGGGCTCTAGTCGCAAAACAGAAGCAACCTAAGCTTTCTCCATCGGTCCAGTAGCATCCAATTCGAGTAGCTTCTGAAGCAAAACTCCTTCCACTTTATGATTGTAATTTACGATTTCATTGTATCTGATCGGGTAACTAGAAAACCAACTTCGATTAGTTTTCCGTGTTTCTGAACGCACCCAAAACAACAAACATAAGACAATATCGAACAGTGCGCAATGGTGGAACACGATGCTTTCGTAAATGTTAACAGTAATGTCTATCTGGTGATGATATCTGCTCGCTCTGACGAAAAACCACTGAAGATCACCAGAGCGAACTTCAAGATGTAGCAACAAAAGATGCTTTTTTGGCTCATTGTTCTTGACCTTTCAAGATTTCTCAGGATTCTAGCGTGAGGGGTAACGTTAACAACAATGTTAAAGCGAAAAAGGCTTGGTGTCATTACTATTATTTGTGCAAGAAGTACACAACAACAACAACCCAGCTGAATCCCACAAGAGTAGGGTCTGGGAGGGTGTGTTATATGCAGACCTTACCCCTTATCCCTACTCAAAAGTAGAGGTTGTTTCCAAATAAACCCCTGGCTCAAGCACCACAGGTAATCGATCACATACGCAGCCTGAACCCTATGTGCAAGAAGTACTCTGCGTACACAAAGGCAGAATGGGAACAAAAAACTTTGGAATCCACTCTCGAAGAAATAGAAGGTTGAAGATGTCAATGCAAAGAAATTTGTTGTCCACAATGTCTTGAACTTTAAAATGGTGGATTCCAAGTCTGTGGTAAGCCAGGCCGAAGAGATGCAACTCATTTCAATGAGTTCAACGACGAGGAGATGGGAGTAAGTAAAGTGTTTCAAGTTAGAGCATAGTTCACGAACTCCCACCGTTTGAAAAGAGTGACGGGCATATCTCATGCATAAATGAAAGAAAAAGTACCTTGAGCAATTGCTTACCCATCTCCGAGTTCAAGAGGAGAACGTGTTTTGGGAGAAGAAAATTGTTGCTTCAATGTCAAATGTCAAGGGAAATGTAGTGGAATATCTGAATGGTACAAATCCGAACAAGGGCAAGAAAAGCTCAGTCTTAAAGGTGGTGGAGCAAAAACAAAGCTCGCAAGGAAGTTCTATAATTGTGGTATCACCCCTCGCTCTATGGAATGCAAAGAGGAACCAAAAAAGAAAAACTAGGAGGCAAATGTTATGGAGCTGGACAACATGAATCTATGCATTGTTGTGACCGAGGTCAACATGGTCAGGTCAAACATGGAGTGGTAGATGAACACTGGAGCCACCTGGCATATGTGCTCCAATCATGCAATGTTTATGGATTTCAAAATTCAACTGGTGACAAAGTCTCAATGGCCACAATCTGCTGTCAAAGGCACAGGTAAGATGAAGCTTTAGATGACGTCCAACAAGGAGCTCACGTTGAACTACGTTTTGTATGTGCTGAGAATCAGTAACAATCTGGTGTGAAGCTCCCTTTTGAACAAAACCCGCTTCTGTATTGTGTCCGAGCCAAACAAAGTAATTCTAAGCAAGAAAAGTGCATTTGAAGGCAAAGGTTATGAGTATGATGTGCTTATTTGTGTGACTTTTCCACTTTGTGACATTGTAAACTAGAACATGTTAACTGTGAGTCTTTACGGAAATTAATTAACATGGAATGCACACCCAAATTTAAATTTGATCCGTCTCACAAATGTGAAACGTGCATTGAGCGAAATCAATGAGAGGTTTGTTCCTAATGATAGAACGAACCACACAGCCACTAGATCAAATTCACAGCTATTTGTGTGATTTTAGAATAACACCCACAAGAGGTGGTAATAAGTTATGTTATCATATTCGTTAACGATAGCACAAAATATTGTGATACTTATTTACTTAAAAGTAAAGATGAGGTATTCAAGAAATTAATTCTTTATACGAATGAAGTTGAGAATCAACTCAATAAAAAAATCAAAGTGATTAGGACTAATCGGGCAGGGAGTATAACACTCTGCTTTGTGAAATTTGTGCACAAGATATTGCACATCGAGTGACATCTCCATACACAATCAAATGCTGTAGAAAAAAACAAAAAGACACACTCAAAGACATGATAAATGTGGTGTTGTGTACTTTGAGGTTACTCCAGTGTTGGTGGGGTGAGGGTTTTTTAGCTAGCAACTATTGGTTAAATAAAATAACCCAAAAAGATCAATAAGATGTCTTGCAACTTGTGGTGAGGAAGTCTTCATACAAATACCTGAAAGTGTGAGGATACTTCAAAAAAAGTTATGGTCCCACCACCAAAGAAAACGAAGATAGGTCCAAAAACCGTAGGCATAATCTACATGGGCTACAAGAGTTGCTCATAACGATTTCTTGTAACCATAGTTATTAATGGCGAGTGGCGAGGGGCGGGCGAGAGGACCTTTTTTATGGCGAGAGGCGGGCGGTCAAATGGCGAACATGCATGCATGCATGCATACATACATATACACATACACACGCACACACACACATATATGTATGTATGTATAAACACATAATATTGATACTATATATGCATGTATGTATGTATATGTATATGTATATGTATATGTATATGTATATGTATATGTATATGTATATGTATATGTATATGTATATGTATATGTATATGTATATGTATATGTATATGTATATGTATATGTATATGTATATGTATATGTATATGTATATGTATATATGTGTATATATATGTGTGTGCGTGTATATATATATATATTATGGAGTAATATATAGGAATAAATATTATGCATTGTATGCCCTAAAGCCTTAAGGCAGTGATTGAGGCGAGAAAGGCGAGCTAGCCGAACGCCTGAGGCAAGGATTGAGGCGAGAAAGGCGACCGCCTTAGGCGCGCCTTAGGGATCTCGCCTCGCCTGGCTTCCTTGAGGCGCTGAGAGCTCGCCTGGTCGCCTGAGGCGCCATAGGCGAGAGAGGCGAGCGCCTTTAATAACTATGCTTGTAACTAAATCCGATAATTGAAAGAATCACCAAAACCCGATAATGGAATCGAGAAATGATATGCACTTTGAACTTGTATTTCCATATCAACTAAGTGATGAACCAAGTTCATCCAATGTTTACACAAAAAAATGACAAGTAAAGATCTAACTGACGAGCCTCATGCTAGTACTGACAATGAAACCGAAATCAAGACTTAGCCAAGATGGAGTAAAATGAAAAGGGTAGACAAAACCACTTGAACTGAGAACTTTGTCATATGTGTCAAAGCACGAACCCAACACTTTACCATATTTGCTAGAAAATGAACCACGAGTTGATGATGAAACAGTTACTTCATTACATGGTCCTCAATGGTAAGAGCACATTCAAAGTGAAGTGGTATTAATTTACTCAATTACACTTGGGAGCAAGTCATCCGACCTCCAAAGTCATTGGGTCCAAAGTGGTTATTTTAGAGAAAAATCAAACGTGATAGTTCCATTGACAAATACAAACCTAGGTTTGTTGCAATAAAAGCTACTCACTGAAGAAGGCTTTGAGTACTTCAATACATATTCTCTGATGCCATTAGGTGATACTCGCGATCGCGTCACTGCGAAATTTAGAAGTTCACCAAATGGATGCGAAATCAGCTTTCCTTAAGGAAGATATAGATGAAAAGATGAAGAGATCTATATGAAGAACCTGATGATTTTATAGTTTCAAGAAGAGATATGAAAGTCCATAAGTTGGTCAAATCATTGTATGGTCTGAAAAAAGTGTCAAACCAATGTCATGTAAAATTCAACCACATGATGATAACATCTTATTTTAAAATCAACGAAGCAGACAAGATGGCCAAATCTATCAAGAGCATGTTAAGCTCTTTATTTGACATGAAAGATATGAGTGAATTAATCCTACTATTTAAATTATGAGAAGACCAAATGGTCCTGTTTTGAGCCAATTTCATTATATTGACAAGATCCTTGACAAATTCAAGGAGGATGATGTCAAAGTGGCTAAATCGCATTTCAACATCATCGCTCACCTTGCTAAGAACTAAGACCAGAGTTATCGAAAGCTTGATGTATCCTATGAGCTACACTATGCCAGATGCTAGCATGTGCTTTAAGTAATATAAGTAGATATACCAATAGTACTGAGCATCACAAGAAGTAATGCAGGCAATGAGATATGTATGGTGTAGTTATAATTGTGGATTGCATTAACTAGATATCCACGGTAACTCGTCTCCTTCACTACATTTTGTAGGTTTCCGTCCAATACTCTTCCGTCATCCTAGTGGCAAAACAGAAGCAATCTGAGCCTTCTCCATCTATTCAGTAAGACAGTAGCATTCGATTTCAGTAGCTTCTGAAGCAAATCTCGTTCCACTTTATGATTGTAATTTATCATTACACTGTATTTCATTGAATGATTTATGAACTCAATTTAGATAAGTATTTTGAATTTGTGAGTGTACATAAAAAACTTTATAATAAAAATTAAAAGGAAATAATTGAAATGTATTAAGAATAAGTACTGGTCCTAAGAAATTTAAAAGGAAATAATCGAACTCAATCAGGATCTTCCCAACAAGTGACTAAGTGAGGGCATTTATACTTAGGAGACGTGGGATAACTCCAAGTAAATTCAACAATCAAACGCATACCTGGAGTATTACATTCAAGAAACAATTGTTTCCCAGATTCTGCAATCCTGGTAGTAGCAACGGCTCATCGGTATTGGAGATGGACGCCCATTGAAAACTGGGGAGGTTCCAGAATTTGAAATCTTTAAAGGCGAAGGCCAATCCGGCTATCCCCAGTATGGTGGCAGCAACCGGGACTTGAAGCCCAGTAGCAGAACGCTGTATAAGCTCCAACCCATGTCTGAGTTTATGAGCAGCTATGCCATGAGCTTTCATCTTTGGGAGAGTGATTTCTTTCTCTCTCTCTTTTCTTTCAAATCCTAAAAACTCTAGAAATTGTCTTCAGAAGTCGATTCATTGCAGGCGAAGGCAAGAGATCATAATTTTAATTTTATCATAATTTTAGTTTTAAAAATTTTAAATTTTATAATTTTTACCATTTATTTTTATTTACTTTTTATTTTATGTTTATTTTTTTTGAATTTTACATGTAAATTTTTATGGTTATGGATGAGGTGGGGACATTCGGGGTACACCCCTAACATTTTCCTTTACAGTAGTCTATAGTGTTACATTTTACTTTCAATTCATAATTGTAGTGTTCGTACTAAGTACATTCAATTTTCAAATATTTTAAAACTCATGAATACTTCAATTTACAAATAGTTTTAAAATTTTAAAAATCTATATACACTTTAATTTATAATTTTTTTAAATTTTAAATATATCTAAATACTTTATTTTTTTAAAGGAAAAATTTACATGAATACTTTAGAAAATTTACATGTATTTTGTTTTTTATAAACAAAATGCATTTTTCATCAATGAAATGTATTTTATTTTTTATTAATTGAATGTATTTTGTTTTAATTAAAAAAATATAGTGAGTACTTGAGTAATTTGAGTAGGCATGCCCTCCAAATTGAGTACGTTGGGTAGTTTGAATAGTTCTGAAGTGACAAAATCTTATTGGATGATAAGTTTGAGTACTTTGAGTGCTTGGTGGAGGCACCTCCTCCAGTCCTCCCCCTTAGGGCAAGATTCTAGTGGCCTTGGCCTAATTTGACCTTCAAATGATTTTGTCATTTTTAGGGGCGCTCTGCTGCTTCATTGGTAAAATTAATGGATCTACCTCTTAACCCATTCTTCTCATCTTCCCCCCCTACACCCTGCCGGTTGGGCTTTGCCCGAATCGGTGATCTAGCGGAACTGGGGACAGAGGTGAGGCATTTGAAGGTTAAATTAACTAAAGTCAAAAGGATCGTAATGTTATTATTATTACTATTATTATTACTATTATTGTTATTGTTGTTGTTATTATTATTATTATTATTATTATTATTATTATTATTAGATCAAGGTGGGCCAACCACAAGCTTGAACATAAAATTCAAGTCTAGCCCTTAAGTTTGCGGGCTTCAATTATGGATTAGGCCGGTCTAGCTTGTACCCCAAAAATTAAAGCTCAAGCCCGTTATTTTATGGACGGGTTCTTATGGGTTAGGTCGGGACATAGGCCACTGAAATGAGATCAAACCTTTTAATTTTTATTCATTTGGTTACAATGTAGTATCTATTCATACTTATTCAAGTTAGTGATGTACGAAGAGCCGATACCTCTGCCTCCTCCGGGCTTAAACTTTAGAAAACTTTTCCATGAATTTTGGAGAGCAAGCTTCCCACTCAAGCTAGCGGAGAAGTTCAAAATGAGATCAAACTAGAATAGATGATTTGAGGGTTTTTTCTTACAAATTCTTATTCAAAATGAGATCATACTAGATTTGAATTTGGATTTTAAATTCAAAAATGGCTCAAATTCCATGTTTGAAAATCTTATAAATGTTGGATTTATATTTGAGACAAACTTACCTAATTCATAATAAATTTCAATTACAAATTTATAAAACTCATCTTGTCATTTGAAATTTAAGAGTTTAATTTTTAGAATTTAAATGAAAGATTTAAAATGAAATTTTAATTGCCAAACATTATCTTAGAAATTTTATTATAAGGAACAGGCCAAATAGAGCCACCTGTGGGCTTCACTAATGTAGTTCATACTCAACCCTTATTAATTAAAAGCCCTCGCAACATATCGGCCGAGCTGATCTAATTAAGTTCATACTGGTCTGATCTCAACCCTCATTGGTTCTAATTTGATTAAGTTCTGATCTGGTCTGATTACTATTATTTTTAAAGCTATTTTTGAGCCGATCTCTTTTAATAAAAATAAGTAATAAGTAAAAAAAATAGGTTGAATAGAACAAGTTCTTAGACACAAAAACTTAAGATCAAATCCTCATTTTTTAGAAAGGCCGTTGCAGGCTAGGTCGGGTTCGAGCGCATGATCATGGTAACAAAGAAGTTTTTCAAAAGTTATAAGTAACTACTCCATATTTATTATATATTTCTACTAGACGTCGTAAGTGAATTGTAGTACTCTATATATATTACGGAGTACTCTTTAACATTTTGTGTTACATAAGAATGCAAAAAGATTAGTAATTTTTTCTTTATTTTTCTTTTAACTTGTACTTGTAAATTTTAGATGTTACTTTGTTAAATTTGTACTAAATAGTCTAAAACATATATCATTTTCTAATATAGTACTTAAACCTTATTATTCTTTAAATAATACTTAAATAATATCTAGTGATAGGAATAATGTAGATTTTTAGTTTGACAATGACAGTGACGATGGATATTTACTTGAATAATGGCTAGTGGTACTACATTACAAAATTTCCCTATTATTTTAATAAATTTCCCTATTATTTTTAATTATTTCTAATTATGAAAAAGTTTATAATTGATTTTTTTTTTTGTAAATAAAAAAATTCATCCTATAGGGTGCTTAAAAATAAAGTAACGGGAAAAAGTTAACGAGGTTTACCCCTACACAAGGCAGTTCATACTTAATAAAACCCTCACAATCAAATCCATGTTCTCTTTCTAGTTAGGGCTTCAAGCGTCAAAGTTCAATTTTCTGGAATTGAATTCATAGAGACGAATCCACGATGGTTAGATTTTCCGTTCTTCTTCTTCTTCACATTATCCATTTCTATTTGAAAATTGTTTTTCAGATCTTGGATTTTGCGAATCGAACTCTCCTTTGTCCAGGAAGGAGATGGGAAATTGGAGGCCCAGATAGAGGCGCTGCTGAATGTGGAGAAGCAGATGAGGCAAGCCGGCGATGTGGCTGGCACTCGAAAGGCCGTATCCGAAATTCTGCAGCTCTGCTTCGAGGCACGTGCCTGGAAAACCATGAACGATCAGATTCTTCTCTTATCCAAGCGCCGTGGTCAACTTAAGCAGGTCAATTTGGGTTTTCTGGACACAGATGTGTACATTGTGTGATCGTGTTAGTTCGAACTTTGAAATAGTTCATTGTTCATTTACTAAATGCTGGTGATTCCATATTTGTGTTTGAACTTTTACAATTTTATAGATTTATGCAGGAAGCCTTTTATTGATTTGGTGTAGGAGGCCAGAGAATTATAGATATATAACATCAGTTTGCCTGTGTGTGTGAATTTTTTTGTAGAGTTCATTTAGTACTTGCACTAAATCGGTATCCATTTTCCCATAAAATGGAGTGATAATATGTATCCATAGTTTTTTTTATTTGGTTTGAAGAACATGAAGTTATCATTTTTTGGTGAGGAATGTAGACTAGGAAATAGGTATCCCTTGTCCTGTTTCACTCATTAATGTGGAGAACCAGAAGGTAACATTTTTTGGTGAGGAATGTCTTAGAGGATTAGCTGATTCAACAACTTAACACGTGCACTTCTCTGTCATCTTCCCATTCAAAATTGCTATGTATTTGCCTGTTCTTGTTCGATAACTATCTAGCGACACTCTATTCTAAGCTCAGTTATGAGGGTGAGTATATTTTCATTCTCCAAGTGGGTGTTCCGCCTCTCTATTCATTTCTTGTTCGCAGTGTCATATTTGGAGATTTGTAATGAATGGACTAGTTATTTGGAAATGTATTGTGTGTTGATTGAGAAACCTAGAGAAGCACCGTTAAGTCATGGACCCTTCAATTTATGTTGAGTACATTAACAACAACAACAGCCTAGTGGGATCCCACAAAAGTAGGGTTTGGGGAGGATGAGTGTACACATACCTTACCCATACTTGAAAGTAGAGAGGCTTTTTACAAAAGATCCCCGGATCAAGCATCACAAAGGCAAACTCTCATCTCAAAATGTGATACATGAGTGTCTGACTCTTTTTATCCCCCCTCCCTAATTCGGGACACTGCAGGCAGTGCTGTTAAAATCTCTTATTTCCTCGTAGGGTCACATGATACTACAAGTTATGTCCATCATCCTCAAGGATCAGAACATCTAGAGGATTTTTTGGGTTTGGTTGGTTCTGACCAGACTGACTTGGCATTTAAAACACAGAAAACCCTTCATTTAATGAGCTACACTCTCTGCACCTACTCAATTAGTCATATCTCAGCCCTCCATGAGCTCTTGCTGTGCCCCTCTGATTCTGCATTCTGTTACTCTTTTTGCTCCATGCTTGAGAGCTTCCCTCCGCTGTCCCACCTACATTGGGGTGTGGGGGGGGGGTATAAATTACTGTCAGGAAACTGAAAAGTTGGGCCACTATGCCCAACACTTTGTTCAATGGCAACTATGCACTGCTGTTATATTTGGTTTAAGTATGAAAGAATTAGGATGTATGACCAATGGGCCAATCTCTGTCTTTTAAATGATATGTTGATAATATGTTTTTTTAATCTTATTTTTTGGTATTATAAAACTACCACGCACACTCAAAAGTTGCTAATCCCATGCCACACTCATGCAAGATCTGTATAGAAAATGGTTTCTTGCACCCATTCTCGTGCATCTTAATTTGTGTTTTTTGTTTAATGCCAAATGTTTCTTCTTTTTGTTCCAAGTATTCACCAAGTAATGATACTTCTTCTATTGGGGACCTTGCAGGCTGTACAAGCCATGGTTCAACAAGCCATGGAGTACATTGATCAGACTCCTGATGTGGAAGCCAAGATAGAACTTATTAAAACACTTAACAATGTGTCTGCTGGGAAGGTTAGCACTCTTCTATGTCATTCTTTTGAATCTTTTGTTTTTTCACCATTTTCAGACTTTATCTAAAACTTCTATTGTATTATTTCCTCACAGATATATGTTGAGATTGAACGGGCTAGATTGATTAAGAAACTTGCCAAGTTAAAAGAAGAGCAGGGGTCTATAGCTGAGGCTGCTGATTTGATGCAAGAAATTGCGGTAACTTGATAGTTTAAGAAATTCATTTTGTTTAGTTAATTTTGT